AGTAAGGGGCCAGGGCTAGAGCGATGGCTCAGTCATTAAAGGCTAGGCTCACAACCAAAAATTCTATAAAAGTAATGGGCCAGTGCTTAGGAATATTGGTTCCAGGGAAGCCTCAATCTTCAGAAGAACATAATTAAAGACATAATTCAGAAATAGAAGTCAGAGCTAGAACTTGTAAAGTCAAGTTAATATGGTGTAGAATCAGAAGTGTAATCCAGAAATAAAAGACAAATTATAGTATAGCAGCTGAGTCTAAACATTGTAAATAAGTTAAATTATGTCTTGAATGAAGACAAACTGCAGTTTAAAACTGATTTTTTTTTTAAGAACAGAAAGCAGGTAACCAAAAATAGGTGAATCTAGAGTGTGTAGCCAGAAATAGGTCAAAGTCAAGTGTATTGTACTACAGCGTGAACAAAAGAAGAAGCAAAGCTGGGCGCAAAATAGGAATTCATACAGAATGCCTCGCAGAGAGAGCCAGTTATTTCTATTCTTGGTTGCTCAGTGAGAAGTGGCCTTGGTCCATTCCGGTGAAAATACGTATTTAATGAAACAGGACAGGGTTTCCCTGTATAGTTCTGTCTGACCTGGGACTCCCTTTGTGGCCTTGAACACACAAAGATCTGCCTGCCTCTGCTTTTCCAGTGCGAGGACTTGGATCAAAGGTGGACAGTTTCTGAAATTTTAACTGGATAATTTCTGGACTTTTAGCTTCTTGGGAGTGACTCACTATATATGTGTATGTATGTATATGTGTGTGTATATATAGATATTTATGTTATAAACATCTATTTGAGCAGAGATGTTTTATTGGGTGTCTATTTACTAGCAGTAGTGCCCAGGATGGTATCTTCTACACAGCAAGATCCTCTAATGATGTTTTAAAAGTGTTAAAATAATTATTCCATTTTAAAAATTAAGTTGAAATTTTAATTCTCTACTTCTGAAATATTATGGTATTTAATAAATTTGTGTGCTTGACCTGCTCATGCACTCAGAGATCTGAACAATTTTAAGCCAAAAATTCTTCCTCTTTTGGTGTTCTACAGATAAGGACAATTGGCTTTGTCTTCAGTCTGAGCTGATAATAAAAATCTCACACATTTTTCACAATTCTTAAGCAGATTTTGCGTTTTCAATAAGTGTAAATATTAGTGATTACTTAGTTACAGGACCCTGAGTAAAAGGTCAAAGTTAAAAAAGAACAGGGGGTTCTCATCTCTTGAGTTCCCAACACAACAGATCGTAGCTACGAGCCATTTGAAAAGAAGCGTTGGATCTTAAATTGTTTTTCTTTAGCTAATAGCTGTTTTGGACAGTGGGTATGTAAACTCTTATCTCAGGGAAAAAGGCAATAAATGCCCCCTCTTTCCATACTTTTTACTACGTACAGGATGACAGGTTAATCTCTATAAAAATGAAAATCTTTGGTTCAGCTAAAGATTATGAGTGGGGAAAAGTTAATATAAATGTCCTTAAATTCTTCAGATTGCTACATAGCCTCTCGGTGAAAGCAAGCCAGCAGCATACAATGACCGTACTTGACTACATCTTTTTAGGTTTTTTGAGACAGGGTTTCCTTGTGTAGCTTTGTACACTATGCTAGCCTCAAACTCAAAGATCCACCTGCCTCTGCCTCCCAAGTGCTGGGACTAAAGGTGTGCACCATCACCACCCAACATCATCTACTGTCTTTAACCCTTAGAATTATGTGATGGGTACCTGTAGAAAAGGTGCTAACTTTTTATTTGAAACTAAAAGAGATAAAACCCTACTTACTTGGGTGCTATCTAAAGTGTTGATGAGTTAAAACATTTGCAAGGTTTCAGGTTCTGTAAACTTCTTTCCTTCCGATTTTTGGCAGAAAATGCATTTTTAGTATCTTTATAGATTTCTTTTCATCTTTAGGATAATTCGCGTGTTTATATTTCATCTTGCTTCTTTTAGTATAAAATCTTTAAATTTTTTCTTAGAGAATAATTTTTGTCTTCCTAAATTTAAAATGAATGGTAATCTGTAGTTAAACAAAAAGGTACCATTAATGAATTTTCTCTTTAGATTTACTGTAAAGTGGTCTTAGGCAAAATTAAAATTGTTTGTGTGCTAATATAAGTGTTGACATAGTTATATATCATTTCTGTATGTATAAAATCCATTTCTTCCATTAAAGAGTTTGTTGTTGCTGTCTCTGATTTATAGAAGGAAGATAAAAACTCATTTAATTTGCACTAATTAGAAAGATAGGCATAAAATACATTGGAAGTATATATTATTCCTATAAATGTTTTAAATTGATAATCTGACAGAATGTAGGGATGCACACCTTTAATCCCAGCATTTAGAGGAGGCAGGGTCAGGCAGATCTATGTGAGTTCAAAGCCAACCTGGTCTTCTACATGGCAAGATCCAGGCTAATTAGGGCTACAGTAGTGAGACTCTGTCTCAGAAGACAAACAAAAATTTTTGTCGAGTGTTGCTTTCCAGGGAGATCTGGATTCAGTGACCAATACATTTGACCACACGTTAGTAGTGTTTTAACATGCTAGCTCCATTCTCTTTGGCTGAATACCCAGGAGTAGGATTACTGGATTACAATGTAGTTCTGTTCTGATTCACTCTGAAACCTCCACCCTGTTTCCCCAAGTGACTTCCTGGCAGGACTGTCTGTTCTTACATCCTTGCAGCACTTGTCTTTTAGATAGTAATTATTTCAGCTGGATTGCAGCAGTATCTTGTACCTTCAGTTCATACTTTCACTCTATTTGTAATGCTGAGCATGCTTTGGGGAGGGGAGGGGGGTTGGCTTGTTTTGGTTTTTTTGAGACAGGGTTTCTCTGAGTAACAGCTCTGGCTGTCCTGGGACTCACTTTGTGTAGACCAGGCTGGCCTCAAACTCACAGAAATCCACCTATGTCTATAGCTCATTATTCTGTATTACCCACTTCAGTGTACAAAATTCACAACCAGCTTTTTTTTGTGTGTGTCTTAGAGTCTGTTCTGATGCATTACAATGGAAATTAATTTGTCTCCTGATATTTAGGGGGAAAAACCCTGTTGTTAATTAGTATTACCTTTTTATTTTTAACTCTTAGGTAAGAAACCATTTGCTAATCAGAATACTGGAAAAAGAATTTAAATTAGGTAAACAATGACATTTTTCTGTCTTGCAGACCTCCGTGAGTGAAAGCCTTCAGAGGGAAGCTGCTAAGAAGCAGGCCATGAAACAGGTAGGGATGAAAGGGGGCAATGCACTTTACCAAGTGTTTGGTACCTAGTACTGAGAGGAGAATAGAATAAATGTGCGTAATGAAGTTATTTCTTAAAATGTATAAAATGTTTCTCAATTTATAGAGATTGCAGACTTTATAAGCTTTAAAGGAAGATACAATTAACTTTGTAATAACAGGTCGTAGATTAAACCAGCTTTGCTTTGACTGACTCAGGAGTCTGGTAATAGGTTGTTTGGATTTCTGGAATTTGTTTCTTTATTGAATTTTGCTTGGAACTTAACTTGTCAGAAGAAGAAGTCTAGCCATAGCCAAAGTGATTGCACAATTACTTCAAATTCATCTGCCAGGAAGTGGGGAGTAGTCAGGTCCTATTAGACAGTGGTCTTGTTAGGAGCAGCCTAGTGGCTCTAAGCACTTCTTCCCAGGCATCCATTATCTTCAAAATTCTGAGAACTCGCCCATGCTTCCAACTAAGAAAGTATCTTTTGTCCCTTTTGTTGACACAACTAGATCTGAAAATGTACTGATCTCTACTTTTGGAATAGCATATCTCAGATTTTGATGGTCCAAAGTATAATGCAGTGAACAAAGTTGAGAGAGCTACCTTGTGCGCCCGCCCTTCTCGCCTGCCCCTGATGTGACTGCCTCTGCTCGCTTTTGTTCCCACTTCTACTCTGCTGCTCTAATTCCAAACTAACTTTTATCATGAAATTTGTTACCATTTACCAAATTGTAAAGAAAATACAAACTAGGAATGGATGATACTTTGATAGTCTTTTTTTCTTTTCCTTATTTATTTGGACCTGAATTATACAGAACTGATGGTGAAATTTTTGTCCTTTACTATTTCACTAGAAAAATGCTGTGTGTCATTATGAAATACAGCATTTTAGTGTAATTATCTAAATTGAAAAAAGTCTAATGCCAAGATTGTTAGCACTTACCAAATGAGCTAGTAATATATATACTTTGTGAGTTTATTTCTAAAGATGAGAGAGAGAGAGAGAGAGAGAGAGAGAGAGAGAGAGAGAGAGAGAGAGAGAGAGAGAGAGAGAGAGAGAGAGAGAGAGAGAGAGAGAGAGAGATGCCCTTGCACATGTGAGGTCAGGAATTCCCCCCCACCTTGTTGGATGGTCTTTCTAGTCTTATTTCTAGTTTCTGTCAGTGCGTTTCCGTGTCTGCCTCCCACCCTGTTGCAGCAGTGTTGATTACAGATGTGCACCACCACATCCCACTCCTGTACGTGGTGTCAGGGTTTGGATGTGGGGTCAGCTTTGCTTATCAAGTGCTTTTAGCTGCTGAACCATTTCTCCTGTGCTGTGTTGAGTTTGTTTGTTTTAGTTTATTTAGAAATAACGTCTTGCCTATCACCTAGACTAGCCTAGAATTTTTAATGCCCTTGCCTCAGCCTCCCAAGTGCTGGGATGATAGGTGTATATGCATTGCTTCATACTACTTTTTCCAAGTTTATTTTGTTTTTGTTTGTTTGGTTTGGTTTTGGGGTTTTTTGTTGTTGTTGTTGTTACATTTGGTTTTTAAATTGTAGGTAGGGAATGTGACGTCATGGTATCTGTGAGTAGATCAGAAGCTAGCTTCCAGGACTGCTCTCTCCTGTCCTCATGGTTGGTCAGGCTAGGTATCACTGAGCCCTCTCACCAGCTCCTTTTCAGAGATTTTTTTTGTTGGTATTTTTTCAAGTTTAAGTTCTTAGAATTAGTTATAGTGAAGTTTTAATTAAAAGCCTTACAAAAATGCATCCCAGTGTTACAATATTGTAGCCATTTTCAGGGACCTAATGACTGTTGTCCTCAGGACTTGTAATACTGCATTACCATTGCCATCTTTTTCTAAATTTCTACAGAAACATTGTTAGAGACAAATTAATTGTCTGGCTTTATTTTTATTATTTTTAATTATGTGTGACTGTATCTGTATATTGATATATGCATATCCTTGGGTAATGTAAATATCCAAGGAGGCCAAGGCCATTGGACCTCTGGAGCTGGAGTGATGGGTGGTTGTGAGCTGCCAGATGGAGGAACTAGGAACTAAGTTGGGGTCCCCTGCAAGAACAGTATGTACCCTTATCCACTGAATTGTCTCTCCAGCCCCTCGGCTTCTTAGATGTTTCGAGGTGCATGAATCAGTTGTTGATTGGCTTGCCTCATAAAATTCTTGTTTGTTTGATCTCTCTGTCTGTGTCTCTGTCTCTGTCTCTCTCTACATATACATATACATACACATATACATATCTGTATTTTTATATGCATTGGTGTTTTGCCTGCATGTATATCTGTATGAGAGTGTTGGATACCTTGGAACTGGAGTTGCAGATGGCTGTGAGCTGCCATGTGGTTGCTGGGAATTGAACCCAGATCCTCTGGAAGAACAGCCAGTGCTCTTAACCACTGAGCCATCTCTCTAGCCTCCATTCCCCAGCCCTCACCATTCCCCCCCCCCCCATAATTTTTGTTGTTGCTGTTTCAGTTTTTGAGACAGAGTTTCTCTGTATAGCTTTGGAACCTGCCCCAGAACTCTCTGTAGACCAGGCTGGCCTCGAATTCACAGAGATTTGCTTGTCTCTGTCTCCCAAGTACTAGGAGTAAAGGTGTGCGCCACCACTGCCCAGCCCGATATAGTTCTTTAAAGTGATACATTTATCTCAGAGCACTCCTATCTTTTGTTGTTTTTGTAAGACAGGGTCTTTCTATAACCCTGGCTGACCTGAAGCTCAGTATGTAGCCAACCCTGTTCTTGAACTCCTAATCCTCCTGCCTCCATCTCCTAAGTACTGTGATTACATGTGCCACTACTTCAGATGTGTTGTTGGTTTTGGAGGTGACTATGTAATTTCTTAGATGCCATTTTTCCCTTTTTGGATTCTCCCAGATAGTTTGTGGAGTAAGCAATAGTTCACTATCATTCATTTTTTGAATATTGAGAAGTCCAGGATGTGGGATTCTTGGTATTTTTAACAGTATTTCAGATAAAATTTATTCATTTATATGTGCATTATTCTAGACTCTGAAGGTTTAGTGTATGGCAGATTGAGGCTATAGCTCAGTGGTAATGGATTTGTTTGCCATGTACATGACTTTGGGGTTCAATCCTTAGTGCTACAAAGAAACCTAAGATAACCAGGTTATTCTTTTAAATAATTATATCACCCTTTCTTAAAAAGGACCACTCTTTTTTTTGTTTGTTTTTTTTGAGACAGGGTTTCTCTGTGGCTTTGGAGGCTGCCCTGGAACTAGCTCTTGTAGACCAGGCTGGTCTTGAACTCACAGAGATCTGCCTGCCTCTGCCTCCTGAGTGCTGGGATTAAAGGTGTGCACCACCACTGCCTGCCTCTAAAAGGACCACTCTTAACATCTGTATTAAACAAGTCAGTATAGCAGTTCAAGAAAAAAAAAATGCACAGCTCTGCATTTTAGAAACTAATGAGTTGGATCAAAAAATTACAATTGTAGAGCAGTAAAAAGGTGGTAACACTAAACGTACTATTAGGAGTTCAAGGGCTGGAGAGATAGGTTGGCATTCAGAGTACTGGCTGTTCTTGCAGAAGACCAGGGTCAGGTCCAATACCCACATGGAGGCTCACAACCACATGTTCATTACTGTTCCAGGGGATTGGGCTCCCTCTTCTGACCTCCTAGGCACTATGTAGTACACAGACATGCATAAAGGCAAAATATACATAAAATACACATAAAGAAAATAAATCTTGAAAAGAGTCAAATACTGCCATGTACAGTGTTTAATCAGACTCAAACACAATGTTGGTAGTTAAATATCTCAGAGATGGCCTCATTTGAGAGGTAGAGGTTGAGCTAGCTTTGAAACTCATAGGTTAAGTTTCTTTTTTTTTTAAAACTTTATTTCATATGTATAAGTTTCACGTGTGAGTGTGTGTGTGTATGTATGTGTGTGTGTATGTATGTATGTATGTATGTATGTATGTATGTATGTATGTGCACTGCTTGTGTGCCTGATGTCCTCAGAAGCCAGAGGACATCAGATCTCCTGAATTGGAGTTAATGAGTGGTTGTAAGCCAACATGTAGCAGGTTCTAGGAATTGAACCGAGGTCCCTGCAAGAGCAGCTAGTGCTCTTAACCCCTGAGTCATCTCTACAGCCTCTAGATAAGAGAAAGAACAAGACAGAAACATGATAAAAGTAGAGGACATTATATGATTGATAATGTAAAAATTAATAATAATATGGCTCCCATTTAATGCTGTTTGGATTTTTGAATGTTAGGAACTCTGTTTTTCAATTCATTAGGAAACCTAATTTATTAAACATAACATAAAAATCCAGGGCTATGTGTTGCTCAGTCATGACGCCCATAACTTTTGAAATTTTTGATGTGGATAATTGAATATAATTGAAAATGTCATAGTTAGTGTTTATTGAGCACTTGCTCCCTGTGTTATCACAACTTAGAAAACATATAATAATCATCCTTCTGGGTGAGGAAAATTAAAGCACACAAATTGCTCAAAGCCAGTAGAGCCAGGGTTTAAACCCAGATGGTCTGCTGTAGAGTTCACATTCATATTCCCATCTTGAAGTGTGATTGTACAGTTTCTAAGACACGTTTCTAATGTATGAACCTTTCTGAAAAAAAAAAAAAAGACTTTTAGTGGTATCTGTCAGCTGGTGCATATTTTTAAAACTTTTACCTTCTTTAAAGACCAAACTGGAGATTCAGAAAGCTCTTGCAGAAGATTCCACTGTGTATGAGTATGACAGCATTTATGATGAAATGCAGAAAAAAAAGGAAGAAAGTAATCCCAAACTTCTTCTGGGGAAAGACCGAAAGGTTAGTAGCTGAAATACAATTTTCTTTGATCTTGTTTTTCTTTGTGTTTGGTTTTGGTTTTTTGGTACTATTGGTGACTTAAGTAAAAATGTTGCAATGAGTTCTTGGTTCTAAATTATAGATTTGAGTTTTAGAATCTAGGCCCTAGCAGATATCAAATGAATTATTCAGGATTTTGATTTTTTTAACTTGAAATATTTGCAACTATTTTTTTTAAACTTTTTCTTTAGCAGTTCTGTATATTAGATTTAAACTGCTTCTGGTTTGTTTTCTGATTCATTTATTGAATTAAGTCTATCAAGTAGCCAGGCATGGTGGAACACACTTTAAATCCCAATACTTGAGAGGCAGAGGCAAGTGAGTATGCGTTCAAGGACAGCCAGGATTACATGGTAAGACCTTGTTTCAAAAAATAATTTTTTTTAGAACCAGACATGGTGACATATGCCTTTGGGAGACTAAGTCAGGAGAGTCCAAAGATGAGAGCCATCGTTAGATATATAGAAAGTTCAAGGCCATCTTGGACTGTGTCATGCACTATCTCAATAAAACAAAGTAAAAAAGAAAAGTAGGAGCTAGGAAGTAAACATGATGGCACTGAGGAATCTGAGGCCAATCTGGTGTATGCATCTGAGGGGGGCAGGTTTCTCTAGCTCTCATCTACCTTGAACTGGGAATTAGACTGAACTGGCCTTGCACTTGGCATGATTATCCTGCCTTTGACTCCCCCAGGCTTGGATTGCAAGTGTGTGCTACCGTTCCCTCTGCTACACTTCAATTTATAGTAGAAACCTTTTAGTAGTAGTTTCGCTAGCAAATTTATTCTGAGTTTTATAAAGACACACTATTTAGATTTAATATTTCTATATTATTGGGTGTCATTTTGTTTCGTCCTTTTAAATTTTTTTCCCTAGCCCAAATATATCCACAACTTACTAAAAGCAGTGGAGATCAGAAAAAAGGAACAGGAAAAAAGAATGGAAAAGAAAATACAGAGAGAACGAGAGATGGAAAAAGGAGAATTTGATGACAAAGAGGCATTTGTGACATCTGCTTATAAAAAAAAACTTGAAGAAAGAGCTGAAGAGGAGGAAAGAGAAAAGAGGGCGGCTGCCTTGGAAGGTAAAAGGAGGAGGGTATGACAGCAGACTGCGGCTCCAGCCATTTGCTCTACAGTGCATGAAGTGTATGTGACTGCAGTGTATGTAATGAATTCAACATACAGTCTGTGTGTCGGTGTATGGTCATAGAGGCAGTGTTACACCAAAGACACAGCTGAACCCTTAAGTAACTGTTATTCCTTTGGGGCTTTTCATTTAGTTCTTATTTTATTACTTTAAACTATGATCATTACAAACCATTGTCTTAGAAATTCCAAATGTAAAAACATTTACAAGGCATAACAACATTACATTTGCCAGAAGCATAAATAAACTTTAAACTCTAATTCCATATTCTAAATGAGAAAATGTTTAACACCACTCAAGGAACAGTAACTGGGCAGTTAGAAAAAGAATATCATTAATAATCAGGGGCTAAGGAATATCTTAGCCATTGAGTTGAGTGTTTCTCAAGGTCAAACTATGATATGTACTTATCAGTAATTTAGTTGGCAAATGCTATTCAATTTCAAGTGAAAGAAAACTAAATCTGTAAGGTTATATCTGGGCCAGGGAGATGGCTCGGCTCGGCAGGTGTAGGAGCCTGCCACCAAACCAGACAGCCTAAGTTTGATTCCTCAGGACTCCCTGATAGCAAAAGAGAACCAACTCCCACAGGCTATCCTGTGGCCTCCACATGTGTGTGCATAGACACACATCAGTTAAAACATTGGACCTGGGCTAGAGGATGTCTACTCATCTCTGTATGATATATTTTCTGCATGTGTAAAATGAAGCTGTGCTCTCCTTTACTGAATCCATATTCTCACTTGGTCTTTGCTTTCCCCTCCAGCACGATTGGATGTGACCAAACAGAAAGATCTTAGTGGATTTTATAGGCACCTGTTAAATCAAGCCGTTGGTGAAGAGGCAGTTCCTAAGTCCAGCTTCCGTGAAGCCAGGTAAGAGG